ATGAAAATAAAATAAAAAATGAAACTTACCCCAGGATGGTTTTAATTGGGTGGAAATGTTTATAATAATACTTAAGGTGATTAGAGTCCCCTTTATTTAACTATGATTAGGTCTATTATTTTTGTTTTATTTACTAGTAAACAGAGTAGCAGCTTTAAGACGTCCTATCACTGTGTTATTTCCGATCCAGGACCATATAGCTATTTCAAAAAAGGTTGTCGGATGAAATGGCGCAATGGTCAAACGGCGATTGCACGACCGAAAGTAGCCATGGGTATTGCTAGTTGAAAGGAAATAATAACTGATTTATACTGTAAGATGGTCTGTGGTAAATATTGGCTCCATTGAGACTCCATTTTAATGTATTGTGATCCAATAGGTGAAATTTTGTTTATCAAAACAGAGGAAACATAGTTCTTTTCAGACGTGCAATCTCTGTTCGACAATCGCCGTTCGCCAATCTCCCTGACAACGTTTTTTGAAATAGCTGTATCGTGATTTGAGTTTGTAAACTCTCCGGCTCTCTTCAAACCCATAGGCTTTTTGACCAGGAACACTGGTTTGCCTCTGATCGGCCAAAAATCTTGTCTCATTCACAGATGTAAGTTCCAGTTTCATCAAATTTCAACAGGAAGCCCCAAAATTGAGAGGCTGTTACGTGAGGATACTATCAAAAATCTAATGGCAATGGAGGTGATGTGTTGTGTTTAACAAAACTGTCATTTAAATGAGAACAACATGCCATATTGGTAGGACATCTGCTGTCTTGCTAGAGACATTAAAGGCTATTTGCAACTCATTTTTATTAKCAGTTTTTAGGGTGCTCTTTCAAACTGGAAAATATTACAAGTTACAAGTTTTTAAACCAGGGATGTGTGGTAAATTCTTGTGCRCTGATAGGCTGATAAGAGTGTGTCAACACGAGAACATGTACACTGTACATGCCGACACCATCACATCTTGTGTGCGGCTCAGTTGAAAGAATAATAATAATTTTCTCATATTTCAATACTTTTTTTAGAATGAAAATGTGCTATGCTCATGGTTCCACTTGAAGTTTGAACATTTTATGACATCGAGAGTGTGTCAGTTCAAGAGGACATACTCAACTTAAAACTGTTTGCAATTTGTTAAATTAACTTAACCCTGACCAATTTTCTACAAAAAAAATTGCTTCTCTTACCTGTGGTGTTTCTGGGTTAAAAACAAAGTCAAATGTAAACCCTCTGTCTTTTCCAAGAATAAGCTGTGGTTTTGACGGTAGACAGTAGACACATGTATTTACACTGTGAACCTTTTCTTGGCCAACCAGTGGACGTACCTACACATTTTTAGTGACAATCAACTACCTTCATAATCAACTAAAGTCTAATTATCAAAGGGCCATGGTAGAGCATGCCAAAAAAGCGCGAAACAATTCTTAACAATCAACAACTAATAAGATTTAGTTATCAACTAGCTAAGAATTYACTGGGGCATGGACACAATGCAAGAAATGAAATTGACTTTGTTTACTCCTCACTGAATTCTTAGTTGATAATGTTATTTAGGCATCCCTGATAAGTTAAGAATTGTTTCACATTTTTGTGGCGTGCACTCTACTTTAGCATTCAGTGCGGTCACTTGTTAGATTTATATGCATGAAATCCATGCGTACAGTTTCCTTCAAAGTTTTRACAAAGGTAAAACAGGCACGCATCAAGTCCCGGCATCAAGTCTCACTGACCTCACTGACTTAGTTGCTTGGAAATGCGTCCAGCTCAATAAGTCAAATAACCACTTTGAAAAGCTAAAAATCATTGATCTACCTACCCTAACAGCAACTTTTATAGGCACTTCGTCCATTTTAACCACAATATAGTGTTGAAGTAAAAGGTTTTACTTGCATTTTTAACTCGAAATGTTCATAACTTTTGTTTACATGAACGGTCACCAAAATCATTTTGAAGGCTTGGCTACCTTTCACCAGATAAAACAGGAAGCCCGGTAAATACATCAAATTTGAAATGATTTTGATCGCGACTCGTCTAAAAGTCGACCAAGAATAGGTTAAGTCTAGAACACCTTGATGTAAGATTAATGTAAATTGAATACAAAAAAAAAAAAACCCAGCAAAAAACAAAGTCACAACAACCAATAATAATAATAATAATAAATCAGGGAAAATATGTATATTGCTACCTTTGTACCTTTTAATTTAAAAAAGTAAAAGTTAGCCTTTACGGGTAATTTATTGCTATCATTGGTTTTTTCCTTTTTTCTTTTTTTTAATTTCCTTTTCAGTTTTTCGATTTTTTYCCCGTCACGCTAAGCTCACCGTTGCCATGGTGAAATTACGTCAAGATCTGTCAAGAATGAAATACTTCACGAATACTTCGAGGCAAGTGAACAGTAACACGRGCAACATCAATATTCATGACTTCTCCTAGCGTCACTATTCTTCAGTCATGACTCTAGATTCAAGAAAATATTGCCTTAATAATAACCCAGTAGAGAAGAAAAAGGCCAGACAGCTTTTATTGAAAGAGGARGACATTCCAAGTCAATTCCGAGACCCGTTCATCACCGATGGCTACCGAAAACCTGGCTGTTCTTTTTGGCAATGTTGTCGTAGTTTATTCGAAGTTCATAACGAAACTGTGAATGTCTGGAGTCACTTAACAGCTGTTATTTTCTTTGGAATTTATGCAGTATCAGTATTTACTACATATAATCCACTTAAAGATAATTTTGTTTATCCCTTGTTTTCTTTCGCTGCCGGCATTTCAGCCATGTTAACAATGAGTTCTGCAGCTCATTTGTTCAACTCGATGTCTTCAAGAGCTCGCCATATTTGTTTCTTCTTGGACTACGCAGCTATAAGTACGTTTACTTTCACCGCCGGCCAGGTATTCTTCTTCTACTCAAGACCAACAAATACAGAATTTTACCCCCTGCAATCACCTACTTTCTTCCTAAGTGTATCAGCATTCATATCAGCAAGCTCCACTTATYTGTGCTGCGCCTCACGCCATCAATGGATCCAACACAARTTTCTGATAAGAACAGGAACTTACACCTTAACGTGGGCTCATAACACCTTGCCTTTCATTTGGAGAGTTTTAATCTGCGATGGGATCACTGATTGCAACCCTGTAGCTTACAGATACTTCACAAGGCAGTTCTTGTGTTTCTTTGTGGCTGCGTTGTCCAATGCTAGCAAGATACCAGAGAGATTTACTCCAGGCTGGTTCAATATATTTGGACAGAGTCATCACTTTATGCATGTGTTGTGTGCTCTGGGATCTTTTGATGATTTTCTTGCTGTACAGACRGATATGATTGGAAGAAGACATGTCTTAACTTCAGATCCTTCACTKGCASTTCCCACCTTTGCCAACAGCATCTTTCTCATGATTGCGATTCTTGGTATCAACATTRCAATTGTTGTGTGGTTTGCAATTAAGTGCCCTGAACATGATTCTAAGCATGACTAGTTGCTCCAAAAATTGAAATTTTGCACATTTAGCRAAAAAAGCATATCTGATGTAATTATCAGTTACCAAACTAATWATGGTTRATACTCCGATTTCGAGTTCTGGTTTGCTCTGTGTTAGCCTCAAAACCAAGTAACACATTCTTTTCTTTTATTGATAGTCCGAGAAAATGCATGGAATTTGAAAAGAAAGACTAATAGAATTGATTTGAAATTTCACACTTTTATTCTCACAATTAGGAATATTTTGCGCACAAATGAGGCTAACACAGAGCATTGGAGAATTCGAAACTGGATTATTTTTGTATTAGATAAGTTATAAATAAGGGTTTGATAAATTTTAAAGTTAAATTATTTTGGCAAAAGTATAAATTATTTTCATAAACCAATGATAATTCAATTTCAAGTCGAATAACTTTCTTAAAAAGGTGAAAAAATATTTAACTATAAAAAAATGTAACTTTGATAAATAAGGGCTTAGCATCTTCCATTTTCATTGTACGGACCAAGCATTGCCTCTTGTTGAAGTAACAAGATGTCAACATTGAGTAATATTTTTTATTAAAACAATCTAGATATAAGATCAGCTTGGCTGATGACCAAGGCTATGAATGTTTGACTTTAGACTACAGAATCACATGAATTAAGTTCAAGTCCTAAGGTCAAATGTATAAGAATTTTGTTTGGACACATACATAACTAAGCTAAGTGTCATTTAACAACAGTGTTAAGTTGCACACTTCATTTTTTTCATATTCTAAAAAGTTGTGAACTCCTTATAATCAGAGTGAAATTGACTGCAGGGGCAGATCCAGGGGGGTGCTTTGGGTGCTGATGCACCCTCCCTTTTTTTGGCGACGTATTTTTTAATACATCAGTATAAACATGTTTTCTGCTGTTTATACTCCTGTTGTACTTTTATCGAGAAAGTGATTATCATACACAACATTTGTCTGCCATAAAAGTCAATTTCCTTCTGGTCAAATTGAGCAAAATATTCCTGCTCTATACAATAATGATCAGTTCCATATATTACTGAAAAAAGCACCCATCCCCCCTTATTATATGCTGGATCTACCCCTGGACTGATATTGAATGAATTGACCACAACCCTGGAGTATGCTGTAGCTTTTAATAAAAATACAATCAATTAGGATAATATACGTTTTTATCACTTTKTTGTGAATATGATCTTATTTTTGGTATTATTTTGAGTGAATAAATAAAATCCTGAGCACCGCAATAYGTTTGAATAAGTTTATATGAAAATAAAAGGATATGTAATACTATTTTTATTTCTTTGGCAGCATKCCATTTTTGGAAATAATTTTGAACAGACTTAAGCTCAGGAGCATTTAAAATTCTGTTGCCTTYTGTACATATATAGCTGCTGTTCCGTACTCTAGGATGGCGTTGAGGAGTCTGTTTGCAGAGTAGAAAAGATAGAATATCATGCGGCAGGCTGCTCAAAATTGAAGTATTTTTCTTTTAATTGTGTGACTATATTTTTGGAAAGAGAATGTATCAGCTTTATTTTTAGACAGTGTCAGAGTAGGATCAAGGCTTTTGCTGAAACAGATAGTCAATGTTGAGAAAAAAAAAAGGGTTGCTAAAATATGACAAATTTTGACATAAACGTTTCCTCTTACTTCAAATAACAAAAAGATAAAGATAATAATAAAAAAAATAAAGGAATGACATCTTTCATTTTAAAATGAAATGGAAGGGAGCTAAATCACACCTGTTGCAATAAGGAGATTTGGGTTTCCTGTGGTGCGTCGACTGTTACTAGTACCCAATAATGGCGGTTCTCGTGGATTCTCGAGGTACAAACTTCTTTTAARCAAAAGGTRCATTTCTGGTGTAAATTGATCTYATGCTGAATGTATTTCAGCTTGAAAAGTTAGATAAGAAGCAAATTCATATTTACAATGAGATCTTTGAGTAATTTACGGCTGAGGATTGTCCAATTTAGTGAAATATTTGGAAACCACATTTGCAGAAAGAATGCAAGCAGCTTGTCGCTAAAAACAGGTAAAAAAATAATACAGTACCACATACCCGTTTGCATCATAATGTTTCTTCTTCAAGAATATATAATGATAAATAAAAAAARTGATTATAATATAGATGACTGAATCTTAAAAAGCAGTTTTTCTTTTGAAAATATAAGATTTGCTATGTTTGTGCTAAAAACTATCTTATACTGTAAGCTTAGTTGTTGTTTGGTACTCTGGTAAAGTTTTTATGAATCACTTAGTTTTTCATGATTTTATAGGTTTGACATTGTGTTTTGTGCATTTTCGCCTTGAGAGTTACATGTACAGTAGTTTCAGTGGCTTGCAAACTGTGGCCCCTCATTCAACTGGGACCAACCCAGAGCAACGTCTTGTAATTGTGCAAAACACTAGCAATAGACAGCTGCCAATCATCCAAATAACTTTGGTTTAATCTTTTTTTGGGGGGGGCTCTGTAAGATTTAACTAAATATATCACTTTTTCTTTTTTAGGTCCATCTTTGATTAAGACCACCAAGCCTACATCATTGCAAAGCTGTTCCACTTGGACCGGAAGTGTACTAAGACCCATAGGCTATCAGCTTTATATCAATAACAATGCTACTTTAGAACTTCCAACATCTCCAACATGTACACCATTAGGCTTTCCTACACCATTTTTGCCACACATGGGCAATATTTTAGGATATCTACCATCAGATGAAAGTATTGTAGGATATATTCCCAGCAAGAACTCTGATATGAAGTGCAGCAGTCTTTTGAAAAAACGCAAGAAGAAAATGAACAAGCATAAATACAAAAAGAGGAGAAAACGTGACAAGTTCAAGAGRCGTAACTTGGAGAACATCAAAGAAAGAAAAAGGCGAATGAGGGAGAAGGCTGACGAGAGGGCTAAAAGTGCACTTGTTTGACATCTTCAAACTGTGTTACAAAAAACTTGAAACAATAACAGTGAAGGATTTTTGTAAGCTCTTGTTCTGCAATTATAGTGAGAGAAAAATGGGAAACACATGGAAATGGAAAAGAAATTTGTTTCTTAAAAAAAATGAATGTGTTTTTTTTTTTTTTTCATTTCTTGATTGAACTCTTGGCTCAAGCTAAAACTTTTGTTACCAGTAAAATGTGTTAAATATATTAACAAAATTTTGGGATAACAAGCCATACAATCATGTAAACCTAATCCCATTTGATATGCTTTAAGGTAGCTAAGTTTGCAGTTATTGTATCATTTTGGAGAGTAAATTCACATTTTTTTGGAAAACAAAAAAACAAAAACAAAAGGAAATTGCACATGCAGCCCAACAATATACTTTGTGTCAACATAAAGGGATTTACATATCAGAAAACTGTCCTATCATCCCCAATTGCTTGTCCCAAACTCCCACAATTTCCAAGGATGCAGTGTGCTTTAATGAAATACTTGGAAAATGTTTGTTAAACTCTGGGCAAAAGACATAGTTTCCCCTGATTTGTATAGCCAYTCATCTCTGCCTAACAGAAATAGTCTTAATTATTTTTTGTTGTTATAATTTCCATTATTTTGTACAGAAAATCAGTCATATGCAAATTATTCATGTAGTGAATTATTAATTCTTTATCATAAAAAGAAAATTAATCCCTTTCTTTACAAAAGAATATAAAATTTTAATTAAAATCAGCAGATGGCTTCATTTTTCAAAAACTCACTTATAATTTTACTTATTAGTATCTACTAAGATAAATATTAAAACTAGTATTATTTTCTCGCGTTTATAATGTTAATACTATCTCTTTATACCATACGATAATACTATTCTTCTTATTTGGATGTATTAATTAATGACTAGCCCAAAATATGAATTATGTATTTTTGACTCGAAATGACAGGCCATAYTCGCGGGGGGTTGACCGTATCCATCCATAGTTACGACTGTTCGCGTGAAGGTATATTTTTTTTAACAGTATATTTTCTCTATTTATTAAGTTTCAAAAGGGTTAAGAATGGCATTAGTCAATGGTCTTCGAAGTACTCAAATAACYGAAGAGAAATCTCGCCTAAAAGGTACTATTGCAAAATCTACCAAGAAGGAATTGTTGCGAGACGAGGAAGTCGAAGAGGGTTATAGAACTGTTTTCATTCGTAGYGGCTATCGAAGACCAGGATTGTCGTTACAACAATGCTTGTACAGTYTAACGAAGCCGTCTAACGAAACCATCAATGTATGGAGCCATGCCATTGCTTTTTGTTTGTTTTTAGTTCGCTTCTATCGAATGTTCTTCATCCAAGATCAAAAGCCACTTGGAAGTCCGTGGTGCTATCCGCTGTTATGCTTTGCCACGGGTATCCTAGCTTTAATGGCAATGAGCGCTATCGCTCATTTRATCAACTGTATTTCWATCACYGCACATCATACTGGCTTTTACTTGGACTATGCTGCTATATGTGTTTACAGTTTCAGCGCCTCTCTGACATTTTACTTCTACTCAAGACCAGCGAACTCTTCRTTCTTRTTCCTCAAATCACCYGTGGTCTTCTTGACTGTTTCGGCTTTAATATGCTGCATTTCTGTTACAGTAAGCTGTAGTTCAAGACATCGCTGGAAGAAAACAGGACATGTTGTGAGAACAACGTTGTTTACWCTGTATTTCTTTATCGTAACACTGCCATTTACCTATCGATTAGTGAGTAACAATGAGCAACACGCCGAATCTCATCATTACTTCGGCAGATTGATCGCCCATTATGTCATCAGCGCTCTTGTAAACGTCACCAAACTCCCCGAAAGAGCATTTCCAGGTTTATTCGACTTTTTTGGACAAAGTCATCACTTTCTACACRTATTTGCAGCATTTGCGGCGTCAGACGCGTTCAACGCAGTGTACGTAGACATGGTGGAACGACAAAAGACACTCGCCCATGAAGCACAGCCCCATTTCTAYAATACCATTGGWATATTTGCTTTAGTTGTAGTCATCAATTTGTTGATTGTATCCTGGTTTGTGAGGTCGTTGATGCGACAGGAAAAACAGAAAAAACAATAATTATTATTTAATTTGCTGAAAGGGGATGTAAGCGGAAGGCAGGTGGCAAGGTGGTGTCATTGAACTGAGAAGGGGGGTAATATATAATACTGTTATTATTGTGTTATTATTATTATTATTATTATTATTATTGTTGTTGTTGTTGTTGATTTTGTGATCTTTTTGTTTGTGTGTGTAGAGTTGTGCAAGCTATGTATTTTATTGTGATAAATAATTATTAGCTTGACTAGGCTATATATCAAGTAATAAATTATATATGTAATAACAAAGAGGCAAGATTTGCTGTAATTCCGAGTTTTGTGCTTACGCACTCATCAGAAAGTATATTTAAATTTATCAGACAGGATTAATTAAATACTCAGTCTGATGAGCTTGTAAGCACGAAACTCAGAGTTACAGCAAATCTTGCCTCTTTGTTACTAGTATTATATACTTAGCTCTACACCATATGTGTATTGAGCACTTTTTAATGGGATCAGCTACTTCCTTATATGATTAAGTAATAAATTATAAAACCTTGCAAAAGGCACTCATTTTTATGTAATAAATAAAATATGAGCAGGAGACCTGAAACTGCAAGATGTAGTCAGGACGATAAAGGTCGGACGCAAATATTTTATATTTTGCTTATCAAATTCAAACATAAGCTAAATCATTATTTTCTGAAAACTTCAGATAAAATATCATMTTTACTGCAAGAGAAACATAATTTAAAGTTGTRTGCAAATSAGGACAYTCAAGTCTCTTGCTCATATAGATGTGGTGATGGCAAGGATTTTCTATTGTGTTTACCTTAATATGAATTCTTAATGAATTTGTTATGACTAAAAAGAATGTATTTGAGCCAAACTAAAAATTGAGGAATAAATTATGTTTAAGTACTACCACAGGAAGCCCATTCATTGATCATGAGCTGCAAGTATTGAGCAATTAAATATTTGTGCTTARTTGATGGTGAATATTAATCCCTTATGTTATAGCCATCATTGTATGGGCTTCCTGTGGTACTTCTCCATTGGCCACTTATTGTTAAAGAGTAAATATTGAGGTTGGGACTGCTAAATAGGGGTAAATAACAAATTGAAAATTACCATTTAGTATCTGATTATCATATTTGAATCATTGCACATTGATTAAGTTATTTACTATTTCAGGCAACGTCACATCTGTAAAATTAAAAAAAAAACATTTAGCTGACTGTTAAACTATAATTTAATAGAGGAATATTTGTGAAACTATTTTCAGTTTCATGTGCAATGTAGTGCAACAAAATATCTAGATATATATTTGAATCAAAATTTGAAATAATAATAAATTAGGGTTTTGATGTAGTTAGGTGTTGTTCTGGTTTTCAGGAACTAAAATCGCAAAATGCGATAATAAAATGGTCTCCCACTTAACGGCCAAACGCAGGAGCCACTGAATTAAAACTGCCAGATTTGTTATGCTCCTGCTAAGTAATTTCTTAAAACCAACATGCATTTCTGCTCCGTGGTTTTGCAGCCATCCCGTTGCACCAATACGGCTGACTTTTCGTTGTTTCATACTAACTTGCAATTCCTACCAAAAGTAAAGCATATTCGGTATAGCGGAAGAAGTTTGATTTCAATGCACTAGCTCTGCAATGCATGATTCCAGTTATAAGTAAACTGCGCAAAGTCACGCACTTTTAAAATCCGTGAAACAAAAAGTAGTTAAAAAATATATAGGTTACTAGCTAACTTCACACATACCACAAATTACTACTTTCACATTGCGAGAAAGTAACCCCCTTAATATAAAAATATCCTTATCAAAYACGAATGTAATTAGTTCGCGATAATATATTCCACTCTGATGACGCTTTCTGTGGTATTTTATCAGTAGAAACTAAAAGTTATTCTTCGCTTTCAGTTACGTTACATCCGCCATCTTGCAGGAGAATTTTTTTTTAATTTAAAACAGGATTGCTCATTAGTATCTATTGCTCACATTTCCAACGTAGCCACCGGTCTTTTTTTTTTTGAATCTCATGGAATGGGTGAAAATTATTTGCAAAATCACCCCACGTACTCCTTAAAATTGAAATGGCCTGGCCCCTATATGGACACCTTTAGTATATTGACGTAATTCGGTGCGATCTTTTACGAGATCCGTAAACGCAAGCTTTTGGCGCGATAACATGACACTCGACAGGACGTAATCCCATGTGATCACCCACAAGTGACGCATGAACATCCTCATTTTCATGATCTTGATTTTTTATCTCTTCGTTGACAAATTGTCCTTTTTGAGACCATAAACTTGAAAGCATCTACAGTTTGAATAGCGGCACTTCAACTAGCTCTTACGTGGTTATAACAACTGGATACAAAATGAAATTGGTTTAAACTATTTAAAAAAAAGAGAGAATAAATAGGAGCTCAAAACGGAGCACGAATTATAGAAAGCCACAGGTGCACCTAAGATGGAAGATTATTTGGCCATGTGTTTTTTGGTGAACACCATATGTGAGGTCTGACAGTGATTTTCTTTCCCAGTAAGTAGACTTTTAACATTGATTCTCAAAAATTCAATGATTATTTTTAACACATTATTTATATAGTTCAAGATTTGTATATACAATTTTTACGCGAAAGCGAGGACTTGCACATTSTGACGGCATGTCAGATTAGTACTTATGGCCTTTTGGAATATGATAAAATATATTCTGATTCACTGKAAAAAATCGCGCGCTTTAAAGGTTGCAAATTTGATGTAAATATGATGTAAGTGTCCAAAATTCTGTAAATTTGATGGAAATGATTCCCGTTAAATTTACAGAATTTTGGAGGCATATTTACATTAAATTTACAATCCTAAAGCGCGCGATTTTTTCCAGTGATAATACAATTATATTCTCATCCGCTTTTCCTAGGCCTGGTAGTAAACAACAATTTAATGTTTTCAAAACTAAGAGATAAAAGAAATCAAAAAGTTCTACAAATCAACTACCCACTCTCTAAGGTGAATAGTTCAAGTCGAAAAACACCATATTTTTTAACCAGTTTTCTTTAGAGCTCAATAAAGTAGGTTTTTCATTAGCAAATCATGTTTTCTTTGTGTAGTTTTATGCATTTTTCTATCACTTTAAACTTTAATGCATTATTTATAATATCATATTTAAGATAACATATCGCCTTCGTTCTTGGGTATGTATAGAACTCCTTGAACTTGTGAGAAAAAATACTTAATTAAGTATTTTTTATAAATGCAAAATAAAACTTTTTTTCCTTTTTGTATTGATAATTGATGTCATTCAAACCATAATTGTAATGATTAACGATTTTCCAAATATCAATGATCTCAACATGTCGATTGAGTTGATTTGACGACGCGACACGGAATTCTGTCTATCTGATAAAATGCGGTGTTTTTAAAACAGTTTTGTTCCACGTAAGTTTCTTTTTTCTGGTGCTTCACTTCAAAAATTAAACAAAAAAAAAAACTACAAATGAACTAAATAACTAAATATATTAAATATGCAAATAAACAAGAAAAAACAACTTGAACGGCCTATATATCTTCCGAATAGATCTGGTTTGTATTCCAAACATCCAAAAGTCCAGTGCAGTCCAGTGCAGTCCAGTTTAATTCTCTTAAAAAGAAAAGAAGTTTATTATGATATTATTGCAAACAGTTGTCTGACGAGTGTAAAATAACGGAGAAAAATATTTGGTTGCTATTTTTTTCGTTTATCATGGTTTTACCACGCTTTTTGTTGTGTGACCGTGACTGAGCCTTGCATGACATTYTCAACCAATCACATCGTAGTATCAAAAAAGCCGCCACATTACAAAGACAATAATCTTTCAAATGTAGTACTACAAATTACAAAAGAGACGCGCCAAAAGTTGAAAACACGTTTATTATTTTAACAACATTGGGATCGAATCGAATCTGGTGCAATTTCAACGTKAATTTGATTCCTTAGGAGTCCTTCTAACGATAAAATCACACCTCAAACAAGTAAAAATCTACAAGAAGCGTTAGATTCGCTGCTGGATCGCTTGATTTATAGTTCGTGCAGCATGACTGTGAGCAGCCGTTACAACGTTATATTGGGTAAATATACCATTTACATGTTAATTCACGATTTCCCTTGTCAACTCTAAAGCTCAGATATGATCACATTTGTCATAAAATGCATCAATTTATTATAAAACTAAATCTCTTGTACCTATATTGTGATTTAATCACAACCTTAAATCTCGCGCGGTCATTTGTAAGTTTCTTGAGAGTTCGGTTTCCGCGCTGAGTTTGGCTTATCAGCCAGACATGTTAATCCTCATTTTGCAGTTAATTTCCATTGGTTATTGCTTTTATTTACATTTTAAACTCACTTTTGTGAAACATTAGAAATGATTTTACTTGGCGCCATGCATGGCCTTCTGACTGACAAACACTTTATAACGACCCTTAACCGATCTAGATGTCGAGTGCCCATGTAACTCGTCACGCAGTAGAGTATTAAAAGTACTTTCCTATCCATCGTGTCCTCCAGAAATATCTCGATTTTTCTTTATTATTTTTTTTTATATTTTTGTAGTTATTTTGACTTGAAACTTCACGAGAGTCAGGTCAGTCAGCCTCGCTTATAAAAAAACTTTTTCTTTTCGCTGTGCTGTCTTCTTGGCGAGTGGCCAAAGCCGAAGCTCTTATTATTCCAACCTCCATATTACTATGAACTAAAATGAAATTGTCTTTTAATTCTTATCTTTCTAGTTTTTTTTTTCTTTTTGGTTTTTTTGTTTTACACAACTTTGCAACGAATTCATTCTAAGCTAGCCCACTCTAAATAAATAAATGACGTGAGCCTTAAACAAACAAATTATACTACTATCAAAAAGTGTTAAATACTCTAGTCAAAATGTGACGGCAGTTGTGTTCCWTTGAGAATTTTGAACAACACTAGCTTCTTCTTGAATAATRTAGCTGTTGTCGCTGATATAACGCTTCGACATGTTGCAGGTATATAATATCAACACTRGTATAGATTCAAACCCCACAAACTATAACCTTTCTCTGTGGTTAATGTTTACACACGGGCAAGAAGTTTTACACGAGGTTTACTACAAACTTTCCCCAGTACTCGTATTCATAATCAAAGCCGCTTTTCTGTATTCTTTTTAGATGATATTTCAATTTTCATTGCATACCTTTCTATCCGATGCGCAACTTCCAGATACTCAAAGTAGAGTYTGAAAGATTATAAAACTCTTGAATTCCATAGGAGCTTTGACATTCCTAAACAGTCGACCAAGTATTATAATGTCAGATGGCCTTTTTAATTTATTTATTATTGACAGATTTTACTACCAAAACTAGCATCGCGCCACTGTTTCACCTACTGGACTTTCACAAGAGTCCGATTTTCGTGCGAGCATTTACAGTATTTGTATTGACGTAGACTGGACAGAACTGGAGCCTGAGCTCCAAAGTTGACCTAACTAATAGTCTGCAGGTCTGTGGAGCAAAAAGACAGACAATGCTCTATAGTTTGACGAAGAATGGACCACCTGGGATTTGTATAGAACGATGCTTCTATAGTTTTTTCTATGACTCTACCGGTGAATTAGAGCTCGAGTGAAAATGATCGAGAAAAGTTTTAAAGACTTTTAAAAAAGTTTCACCCGCGGAGGATATTGCTCAGTTCGATACTTTATGGATTGACTCGCACACAGTATTTCGCAAAAAGTGTGAAGAGGTCGACAATATAATTGCACCGTGGTCGTATGCCAATATTTTTTTTAGCGTGAATGTTTTGATAACTGATATTGCTCAAATACGCTTTTTTAGCCTCTTATAATTACCCCACATTGTACCCGATATATATGTATTGATAGATWTTGTTCAAATTTCCAGAATTTTCGCATAACACTGTTAGTGATGCTGATGTTGTGCTTTTCCCGACGCGCAAATCGGCGACAGTTCATCGCAATTATTGAGCACGGGTAGCCCAAGCTTTTTACTTGATATAAGAGAATTTATGTGAATCTATGTAAACAGTTGATKTATGGCATAAATATACAATAAATTTCGCTATAACTTATTGCGTGCATTATTATAGCTACTGGTAATCTCTGGAGCGATGTTCAGAACTTTTATGAATTCACATACATTCTCTTATATCAAGTAAAGAGCTTGGGCTACTCGTGTTATTGAGGCACGTACTCTATATGCATCATGTGCAATTCTTCGATAACTATACTGTCACCCTTTCCATTGCATCCAAACATACATACAATAATATGTTATCGAATGAACTATTCTTTCTTCTTCCCAGAATTKAATAGTACTATTCTACTAACTCTGGTCTTGCATTGCTTTCTTGCTTCTTCTTGCCTCAACAGTGAGCATCAGGCTTTATAACAATTACTGTACAGGCAAACGAGGCGCAGCTTTTCAGCCAATCAAGATATTATCCATTTTATCGCTTCTGTTCTTTTTTATCTTACAGGCTGACTATGACAATGATTTCTTAATAATGTCTCAAAGACAACAGCGTAGTTTT